CAAGCATATTGAACCCAACAGGCTGGGGGTTGGTTATATAGTAAGTTGCTGTATGGATTTGAATAGACTTGAAGAATTGTAAATGGTTAACTAGCTTTTCTTTCATCTGTAAGGAGAACAGGCCGTCTGCTTCATCATTCAGACTTATATTCCTGAAGTTTATCTGTATGTATTAGATGTCCACACCACATTGCCAAATCTTCTTACTCTGAATTTAGAAATACCTTTCCTTTTTTGCCTTTACAATTCATAGGGAAACAGGATCTTCTGAAGGTGTGGTTTTGTGGGTTTTGTTTTTATTTTTAACTTCTCAGGGTTGCAGAAAGAAAACTTTTCCTTTCCTTTCCAAACCGCCAAAATTTAATGTTCATCAAAACAGTTCTCAAAAATCATTAACCTCTGACAACAGAGTGTTGTAGAAGAAAGGCAGTGAAGCAGTCTGAAACTGACCACAAAAAACCTGTTGATAATCTGGTAGAATAAATCTGTCCTCTAAAAGTGTGAAATTAATTGATTTTTTTTTTTTTTTGCAGGTCTTATGTATGGGGGGTGAAGGCACTAATCCTTGTATTAGAAGACAGATTTTTAGGGGTCAGACTGTAAAGCTCAGAACAAGTGAGCAAATTAAAGTGTTCCCATATTCTTTATTGAGGCAAAAATGATCATATAGTGAGTTTTGCTAAGCTCTGTGTTAAAAATGAGGGGTTTTTGTTGCTTCTGTTGAGAGCAAAGGCTTGAGTTGCAAGATTGGTGGTGGTTGTAATGAAATAAGGGCCAGAGGTTCCCACTGATCCAGCTGTCTGTGTTGATGTAGCACTGACCCAAAGGAGCAGACACTGTATAACAACAAGATTTGCCAGCATAAATATCCTGCCCTTCTGCTTAGACCATCAATCTTGACTACTTGCTTAGGAATGAGGGGAGGTAATCTTCTGCAGTAAGTGTGGAAATAGAGAGTGAAATGTATTTTGGAATTTAAGATTGATATGAAAGGGGCCTTGTATGCATTTACACAAAACATTTGTGTAAGACGAAGTGCATGCTTTTTAGATGGAGTATGGAGGAATAAAAGCTGATTGAAGGAGTGCTGAACAAATTTAATTTATCCTTGTTTCGAGAATAAGGTATTATCAGAAGAAATTCAGAATTACCGTCTTGTTTATCCTTTGCCCTGGGGAAATGTGGCCCTATAAGCAGGAACAGAGCTGAAAGTCGAGGTCACAGTTCACCCCCAGACTTCAGGGGCATGGTAGAAAGTTTCATTCTGAGGTTCACTTATTTCTAAACTTACAAGATGATGTATTTCTTTCTTCCATAGGTATTCCTTTGATTTTATTTTTTTCCGTTCTTGCTGTGGATCTTGTTCACAGTTATAGGGTCCCATTGGCTAGCAGAACATTGCATTGGCTTCCTCATTGAAGGAAGGGCTGTACTGTGCATGCGCTGTTCTTAATGGATCTTTTCTCTCTTTCAGAAAAAGGAATGAAGAAAATGAGCAACATCTATGAATCAGCAGCCAATACCCTGGGAATTTTTAACAGCCCATGCCTGACTAAAGTGGAGCTGCGAGTTGCATGCAAAGGCATATCAGATAGGGATGCCCTCTCAAAACCAGATCCTTGTGTCATCCTCAAAATGCAGTCGCATGGCCAGTGGTTTGAGGTGAGTGTTCAATAAAATAAAATGATTCTTCTGATGGTTTAGAGTGGCATAGAGAAACTGAGGCAAAATTCAAATAGCAAGAACAATAAAGAGAAGAAGCAATTTGAAGGCTGTGGCCTTGTAAGAGTGAAGGGAGATTTTCTGTTAACTCTAACACACTTTGAATCAGGCTCTTAATGATACTTTGAACTTCTATTTGGAGTCTAGGTTAGAAATGAAGATGGCTAAAGAATGAAGCATCATAAAATTTTGAGCATTACAGTTGGATTCACAGTTGTAGTTAGTAACTTAAACTAATGCATTTGCCTTATCAATTTGCATGTTTGATTAAAATTCCACTTTGGGTTATTTTACCTAATCTTAGAAACCATTTGATTGATAAACATAAACAGGATGTCTTGGAGACATGCAAATTGTAAATAAAGAACATTAGAATGGAATATAATGTTTTAAATCTTGGCAGTTATTTTACTTAGAAGTTACACTTGAGTATTTGTGGTTAATCAAGCTAAAAGGTGTGAGTTGTAATGGAAAGTATGCATGAGAAAATTAGGAATGTATTAAAGCCAGTTCTTATTTTGAGTGAGTATTCATCCCTTTCTTTTCAACAGTTTCAGCATTCAGAATAAAATTGTGTTATCTATCAAAAGATAAAAATAATAGCTGTGAGCATATGCAGAAAGCAAAATCCTAAATTGATGAGTTTTTTAATTTAGCATTTTCAGCCAAGTCTGTCAGTCTTTGGGGGTTTTCTTCCAGTTATTCCAATTGTGTGTTTTTTTCCAGTGCAGGGTCAGCAGCAGCATAGCAAACCGAAGGGGTTTTGCCGATAGTCTTCCTCTTTGCTTAGTTCACTGCTGTGGAACCATGAGATAGGTCCCTGGTAGAAAACCACACTTTAAGTAGAAATAAAACTCTCATGATTGTTCTGCTGCTACACAACCAGTGTCTTCATGTAATTGAAATTTAAGATGATATAATAGTTAGCTAAAAAAAGGTAATTCTAGCTAGCCATGTAGAAATGAGCATTTAGCTGCACTGTATGTAATCACTCAAATAGTAGAAATTAACCAAACAATTAATTAAAGGTCAAAATAAGTGAAACGCCCTTGTTTGGGAAGAACAGACTGAAATCTTTTGGGTCATTTCAGTTCTCTGAATGACTTCGAGTGCATTTCACACAGTTTGTCTTGTGGCCAGTTATGGGCAGGGTAAGTAGCTCTGAATTATATATTCTTATGTTGTAATGGAGATTCCCTATATTTAATGTGGTTTTTAATTTGGAAAGTTATTGTCTGAATAGAATAATTCCTGCAGAACAGATCTGGTCACTGATAAGATTCTCATCTACGTCATTTGTTCCTACTGTCTAATGAAAGTCCAGGGTACTCATTTTAGTATGAAAAAAAAGTTTTTATTAGTTCATGTTCCTATCAGTGCTGCAGAGCTAATACAGCTCTGACATGCTGAGCCTTTTCCTATTCTGGCCCACACATTCTCAGCAGAATTTTTAATTAAGTTCCAATTGCTGAGTTAAATTGAGCAGAGTCACTCAGGTATAGCTGAAGATATAATTGGCTGGAAGAATCTTTTGCTGCTGACAATCAATGATCCCGCAAGACCTGAGACAGCAGACAGACTAATAATTTTTAAAAAATCTAGTTACCAGTGAAGTGAGTACATTCAACATAGAAATCACTAAATGACAACCGAAGAGGAGTAAACTTAAGAGTTTTGCTTCTATGGATTTAGTGACTTCACGAACTTGTCTTGAATTTCCAGATACCTTAAACCCCCTGGAGGTTGGATGTCTCCAAACAGACTGTAGCAAAATCCAGTATTACTAAAACATGCATACTGATCACATATTCTGGCTGTGTGAAGGATTTATGAACCGGGAGCAGCTGGGTTGAAGGTGCCTGAAATACAGGTTGTGTTCTGTGTATAGTTGTGCTCTTGCAAATAAGTGCTCTTAAAATGTATGGAAGTTACTGAGGACTGACTGCACAGCCCCTACTGAGCCAGATGCAGCTGAAGCAGGTGGGCTTAAGTTGATGAGACTGCATTGTGCATGCTATTAGAGATGCTAGGATGTGATGGATTCACTCTACAGATGCAGAAAACCCCTAAAAGTAAGAAATCTGTGCATATTTGTCTCTGGGAAAATTTTGAGAAAACATGTCAGCCTGGGGAGAATTTTTTTTTTTTCCAGTTCTGCAGTACTGTGTGTGCATATGTGCTTGTTTGTGTAAATTATACCACCCGCACAAATAAATATAAAATGAAAATATCCATGCAGTTGTAGAGTGGGTAGGTGCTGTTTCCAGAGATTGGAAATGGCATATGTGGGTTTGTTTGTTTTTGGTTTTGGTTTTTGGTTTTTTTTTTTAATGTGATTGTTTTTCTGGATTGCTTTTTTGGTTTTGGATATTGTTTTTTTTCTAGTCACAGAATGGCTGAGGTTGGCAGGGACCTCTAGAGGTCTAACCCTGCTGCTCAAGCAGGAACAACTTTGAGCCAGTTGCCCAGGACTGTGTCAGATGGTTTTTGAATATATCTAAGGATGAAAACTCCACCATCCCTCTGGGCAACCTGTGCCAGTGCTTGATCACCCTCACAGTGGAAAAAGTGTTTCCTGATGTTCAGCGGTGTTTCAGCTGGCGCTCATTGCCTCTGGTCCTGGCACTGGCCCCCTCTGGCAAGAAGCCTGGCTCTGTCATCTTTGTACCCTCCAGGTATTTGTTTATATACATTGACTTATCATTGACTTATCCCCCCTGCGTGCTCCAGGTGTGACCTCACCTGTCCTGAGTAGAGAGGAAGGATCACCTACCTTGATCTTCTGCTGGTACTTTGTCTAATGCAGCCAAGGATACCATGCGCCTTTGCCACAAGGGCATGTTGCTGGCTCATGTTCCACTCAGTGTCCACTGGGACCCCAAGGTTCTTTTCTGCAAAGCTGCTTTCCAGCTGGTCATGACCCTCAGGCATGTGCTGGTGCATGGGGTTATTCCTCTGCAAGAGCAGGTCTCTGCAGTTCCCTCTGTTGAACTCGTGAGGTTCCTGTTGGTTCATTCCTCCAGCCTGTCAAGGTCCCTCTGGATGGCAGCATGACCCTCTGGTCTTATCAGACACTCCTCCCAGTTTGGCGTCATCTGCAAACTTGCTGAACATACTCTGCCCCATCATCCAGATCATTAACGAAGATGTTAAATAGGACTGGTTCCAGTATTGATCCCTGAGGTACACTGCTAATTACTGGCCTCCAACTAGACTTTGCATTGCCTATGATCAGCCTCTGGGCCTGGCCATTCAGCCAGTTTTCAGTCCACCTCACTGTTCGCTCATCCATCCCATACATCAGCAGCTCCCCTATGAGCATCTTGTGGGAGACGCTGTCAAAGGCCTTACTGAAGTCCAGGTAGACAATATCCACTGCTCTCCCCTTATCTACTGGGCCAGTCACTTCATCACAGAAGTTTGTTAAGTTGATCAAGCATGACTTCCCCTTGGTGAAACCATGTTGATTACTCCTGATTTTCTCATCATTAATGTGCCTGGAAATGGTTTCCAGGATTAACTGCTCCATCAATTTCCCAGGAATCAAGGTGAGCCTGAACAGGCCTGTAGTTCACTAGGTCATTTGAGGATGGCCACATTACTCCTCAGATGTGAAACCATTAGGAACACAGTCAGGATATGGGGAAGTACTCAAAGAAGTCTCAGTGTTGTCCTCAGTTCTGGCTCTGATATGCTTGCTGTTTTTCTCTTCCTGTCTGGGTAGATGTTTCCCTATAAACAAACCCACACGTGCACATGCACGAATGTGCACACATACCTCCCCTCCCATTTCTCTGTGTATGTATGTTGTGATGCTGTCTGAAAAGCAGCAGTCTAGAATTAAAATGATATATTGTATCTCCCAAGAAGACCAGCAGTTTACTCTTTCTCTCACATGAAGCTTGTATTTTTAGCCTGAGATGACAGGGTGTGATATAGCAGAATTTAAGATTATGCTGTCCTTATGTACTAAAAGACAATTTGCTGATCCAGGATTGAATTTTAGCTCTTCTGGCTTTAGCTTTAGGCAGGTATACTTGCAGGGGGGCCAAATGTTGTACTACTTAAACAGTTTTTAAGTTAATAATTTGATGAGTGTTTTTCCATATTGATTTAAATGTGTTCAGGGAGTTTCATTACTGGACTAAGCTTCAGATGGTGAACAGCTGAGTCGGGTAGTGGAATCAGGCAAAGGTAAATGATGATAAATTCCTTTGCTCCTATGATTTTTTTACCCACCTGCAATGTGAATGTCCTTGTGTAAGAAATGTTAATTGCATATAGCACTGCAGTCTTCAGCTGAGATGTGCTAGCACTGAGATTCTCATTAACTTCTTATTCCTAAGAAAATAGTTTGGGCCTGTTCACAAGTTGTTATTTTGGAAGTCAGCTATGTCTGGTCATACAAGATTTACATGAGAACAGGAGGTGCAATATAGCCTGATGTAGCCAGATTGAATGTGATGTCTGTAACTATGAAAAGAGAAGAGGAACTTAGGAAGATAGTAGCTATGTCTGAAAATCAGGGAGGGCTTTCTGTGACTGTACTCATAGCTTCCTGTGGCAGGACATAGAATATCAGCTACCTTATGGATCTGAACAGCTAGACAGAGTTTTTGCTCTTTCCCCAAAGTTTTTATTAAACTTGAAGTAACTGCAGCAGAAATAAAGCAGCACCCAAAGACAACATGCAGTTGCTAAAATTCATGTTGATGGAATTGGGTGAATTTTTTTATTTGGATAGGTTTGTTTACTGAAATAGGTTTTTTTCATTAAAATGTTGACTAGATCACAAATTTGGTGAAACTCAGTGAGTCTTGACTAAACCGTGTTGGGCAAACCCACGACTTTTCATTTTGGTGTTTTTAAAATAAAAGGCATCCACTTGCCACTTAGCATGACGTTTGATTTCAAAGATCAGCTTGACATGTTTAAAAAAA